CTCCATCCTTTGACTGCCATTCATCAAACTTACAAAGCTTTCACAGTCACACTGGGAGTTTCACTCTCACAATAGGTTCCTATTAGGTCCAAAAAGGGTTTTACAGCCTGATGCCATAGAAGAACCTTTTTTGAAGCCAACATGAAATGATCCCAAGAAAAAAAATCTACAAAGCATAAGAACTTTGAAGCGTATCAACTTCTGAAATGAATCTCCTTGTCAGCTGGGCCACAAATGCCACTTAAAGGGATAGTTCACCCAAAAATTTGAATTAATTGATTATTTACTCACCATCAAGTCGTGCGGAACACAAAATGATAACTTTTGATGTCTCGTTTCAACATTTCCAATTATATTGACCGTTTCTATCAAGCTCTATAAGCAATGGTAGCAAAAAAAAAAAATACTATAAAACTGGTTCGCATGACTCATGTGTCGTAGAGGGCTGCAGGGATGATATATTTTTGTAGGCCAAAACATGGAAGTGAGTTAGCATTTTAGCACATTATCCTGAAGTCAATGGGTTCCCTTTCATGGGAACTTCGAACTGCGTCCTCTAGGGGTCGCTATGGGGAACGCCTCGTCGTGACCCGTGTCTGAAGCATACATTGAAAAAACACCAACTCGTTGGCCGGCGACAGCCATGACGTCACTACCGGTGCGACTATAGTATAAATAGGCGCCGGGAGCACACATCATTCTCTTCTTCGTCTTCATTGACTGTTTTGTTTGAAGCGTGCATTTCTGTGGTAAGAGCGATCTCTATTTATCTCATTATGGCGAGCACTAGCAAAGCATTTAAGGATGTGTGCATCCATGTTGACGTTGTTTAACATCTGATGACACACACGATCTATGCATTGTTTTGTTTGGGCAAAGAGCACGCACGCGATGTCTCCGAGGGGGCAATCGGCGTGCACTGCGAGCGTTTTTTCCAAGGGAAAAAGCTCCGCTCTCGTTTGTCTCTCTTTTCGAGGAAAGAGGGGCAGCCATCTGCTTCCCGCGATTCAGGACGCGCCGCTGCTTAGGCACGGAAGGGAATGAGCTCGTGGGGATC